ACAGTAGCCGCTGTAGGTGCAGACGCCGCATGGCTCACCTGCAGCACTGTAGGCACATGCAGTGGCCGGCGCAGAGTCAGCCCTGTATATATATCTAGTTACTGTTACAGCATGTGCGCTGTACTTTAGTTAGATAGATATAGTTGTATAAATAGGGCACTAAGGCAACTCAGTAAAGAGAGCTCAGATTTGCCATCACACAGACAGGGCCTCGGCTAACGTTGTTGTCTTGTATTGTGCGTGCTTGCTCTGTTCTCCCTTCTTCTTCTAGCTCGATCCGTAGTGTGTGGGTACGGACACAACCGGTATAGTGGTCTGGGAGACTAGTGGTCTGGTCTGGGAGACTAGTGGTCTGGAAAGACTAGTGGTCTGGTCTGGAAGACTAGTGGTCTGGGAGACTAGTGGTCTGGTCTGGGAGATAGTGGTCTGGGAAACTAGTGGTCTGAGACTAGTGGTCTGGAGACTAGTTCACTATCGTCAGACGGTGATCCCATGGGCCAACAAGCCCATTGAGCCACGTATATGCATATATATACTACCATTCCAAGCTGAGGCTTTTGCAGCCTGATAAAACAATTAAGTGGTTCAAATAATAGTGATGGAATATGCATGCCTATGCCCTATAGTACAATGGTTGGCATCTGATGCCCATAGCGAGATTCAAAACATCAGCTTTCCCATAAAAGGGGAACAATCTACTATATATATAAAGAAAATGAATCTGCATCATAGGATTCAGACTGTCTTAGCAAACAAGCTTGCCTCTGTATTTCATCAACGCTATGTGCACAACATATATGATTGAGCATCTGTCTTCCACTTGTAGTCGGTGAAGACTTGCCTGAACTGGGTCATTCATCCTTGTTGAACATAAACTGCACTTGAACATTATGATGTTAGATATCATACATATGTTGACAGGTCCAAGTAAATGCATCCTTCTCGAGTGAAATAATTTCTAGAAAAGGATTGCACTTCTAACAATGTTCAAATGCTTAGTGCTGATTCAACATGGACTCATGATCTTTTGTAATCAAGTCAGGTTGTTAAATATATGAAAGACATTCGCATTTAATTTCACAGCTAAAAGATGGGTCATGTGACAAAAGAATTTACATGCTGTAAAATCAAGAAATGGTCAAACACAGTGAAACTATCGCGCAATGCACCCAATCAACGACTGTACTAACAATAACAAAAGAAACTAAGAAAGCAACATACACTAGTAGAATTGTAAACAGAACAATCCACGCTATAAGCACTGACATAAATACAACGCAGGGAGCAGCAACATGAAAATGCTCCCAGATTCTAGCATCGAGGAGAGGAAAACCTACACTAGGAAGATCTTTAACGAGCATGTCGATCATCTACAACATTAAGAATTGTGGACTCATTGTTCTATAAAAGATAGATTGAACAAAGATTTGACAAACATACCATTTAATAGCTAAACCAGAAACACCTTAAGCATCTTCCAGTTTCCATTGGTGCCTAAACAAATTGGAAACAGAAGTCTTGCACAGGCAAAGAAATCTGTGCCAAACCATATGGGCCACAGACAACTATATATGGAACCTAACATCCAGATATTTTCTGTTTCAAAATTTAATATTTCAGATTTCAGATACTTACAGCTGCACAATTGAACAGTTACAACATTAAAGATGCTGAATCAAAGATATGGTCCAAAGGGGGAGGGCATGTACCTTGAGCAAGGAGAGCAACAACACTAAATAGTAAACACTAAACAGAGACTTGAATAAGGGGTTAGAAAATGCACCTGGGGCCAGCAAGCAAACACATACCACATGCACGGACCAAAACAAATACATCCACACTCAGCTTACCATGATACACACATCCTGGGCACCAGCAAAGTGCAAATTATTTTTGTGGCTAGCCGTGCTGGATGGCGGACCGATTGGCCAAGAGAGGATTACCTCACCCAACCCACTGCCCCTTGTGTGATCAGGAAGATGAGACGGTCCAGCATCTGCTTACTACATGTGTCCTTGCTCGAGAATTTTGGTCACGGATTCTGACTCCTTTGGGACTGCAAGATTGGACTCCCACAAGGCGAGAGAAATCATTCGTTGATTAGTGGCGAAAAGCAACCAAGAGAATTCCAAAGGAGAAGAAAAAGGGGCTGAACACAATGATCATTCTAGGTTCCTAGATCCTTTGGAAGCATAGAAATGCTTGCGTTTTTTAAGGGTCTCACCCCTGCATCGCCAAGATGCTTGAAGAGTTCAGAAACGAATATCACCTTTGGTGCTTGGCAGGAGCGCGTGGCCTGCTCACGCTAGGTCTGGGTCACGATGTTGGGCTAGGATAGATTACATTGGTTTAGTTGGTTGATGTTCTTTGCGGTCAGGTCTCATCTCTTTCTTAGTTCCTTTAGTTTAAGTGATTCGATGTATTGAAACAACCCCTCACAGTCCGGCCAGGAGTGAGGTGGTGGTGCTTGTAAGGGGCCAATCCTTTTCTCTCTATAATGCAATGATATGCAGATCTCCTGCGTATTTGAGAAAAATACACACATCCCCTTGAATTTTCATCGAGCTCTTCTTTCAAATCAGCGTTGTGAAAAAACAATTGTTCTAGCAACCTGCAATCAGAATTAAGCCATCTTGATCAACCAGGAGCACCCTACACTGTCATTCTCCAAGGCAATCAAACAGAAAAATCCTTGGCAACCACAATTCACAAAACAACTAAATGCTTCCATAACCAAAATCATGAACACCTGTCACCTTACATCTGTATTAAATCGCAGGTGGTCACAAAATGTGAACCCCTGGCATGTAAGATCGAGTATCATCTAACAAAACCAGGCCATGGTGTGACTCTATGATCAATTTCCTACCCTGTTCAGCCAATACAGCATGCCCTAATTCCTTCTAAAAGAGCAAGAAGAAACACTTAGCAGATTAGGTAACAATTTCCCCAACTGGTTACAAGACACCATTAACCAGGTGCCCTGCAATGCCTCAGCAAAAGCAGTACATGTATGGAGTGAGTGCACTGAATGGATCCTTAGCAAACCAAATCATACTTGCCCATGCCATTTGATTGCTATTACTTGGGCATAATATGATGCATGTCTCAAGCTTCTACCTTCTCATAGAAAAGAAGGAAAGCCTCGCACTTGAGAACTTCGTCTAGGGAGACTTCTCTAATGCTTTTATCATTTGCACGAAACCATGACGAAGAGCTATTGCTCGTCTCCACCTCACTGACAATGCTGCTTTCTCTCACATAAGCGACAAAGTGCCCCCCTGTTATGGTCCTCTGGCAATGCTCAATGACACCAACTAGACGATATTTGGCATTATCTGTCCCCGGACCTGAAGGTTTGCAAAATAATAATTCAAAAGGTCACGCAAACAAAATGTTAGATTAGCTATCAGCATCACTAACAAGAAAATACTATCAGATTAGCAGTTTTGGCATATATCAAGTAACTACATGATTCCAAAACATGAAACAGAATTAGTGTGACACAGTACAATTGTATTAATAGTCAGTTCATTTCATTTTTTATGCGCACAGAAAGGGAAAATAAAATCCTTAGCTGTTCCATTTTGCGGAAAGGGATCACGTAGCCATTGGCACATGTCGCATATCACCTCTATGTGAGACCCAACACCACCAGTCAGGCAGTAACCACAATTCAATTAGACTTCCCAATCAGCGTGCAATGGAAGTACCAGATGCTAGTTGCCTATTGTCCCATTTTCACATTACAGTCAGATACTAAAAAGCATGTAACTAATAAACTATAGAAATCTTTGTTCTGCACCATTTTTTAAAAAAAAAAATTCAGACCTTTTTCAACACTAGTAATATTTCTGTGCATATACTACAGAGGTCACACTTGGGTCACCAGGAGTGACAAAAACCCAGCAGAAACAACACAGAAAACAAAAGAAACCCAAGTAACAAGAGACAAAGTGATAAATTATTAAGAACTCAAACAAATTTATTTCTAGCACTACTCCAGGACAGACAATGGAAACTGGAAATTCTTTTAGAGACATAAAAAACTATATCTTATTCAATCTTTCCTAAAGATACTGAACAAACTATGAAATAAAAAGTAGCTATTGCAAATGAGACTTCGAACTGCACAAAAGTAATAGCTATTCCAGTTAAAAACTTCGAACTTGGTTCTTCTCCCACTTGGTTTGCAGTATTTTCCAGCTCTACTTGAGTTCTGTCCTGATTTAGCGCGCTGGCATTTTTGTTATCATGGCACTCAACAGGTTGCTCTTTTACTTCACTTCTCTATGATGGTCACGTTCAGATCGGGCCATCAAGTGATGTGTTTCCACTGATGTTTGCCACCATCTATCTTCTATCTTTCCTTCGGCAGGTAAGGGCAAGAGAAAGCAAAATCTTCTCAGCACGCTGGTCCTTCCCATTGTTCCTTTCATCACAAAGCCTGTTTATCACAAATAACACAAAAGACAAAGTAATAAATGCGGAAAAACATACTAATAAATTTCTATCCGCTGAAGTGCCCCCACAATGCAACTACTTAAGTATGAATACATTGTGGATTCATTGTTTTATAAAAGATAGATTGAGCATAGAATTGAAAAACATACCATTTAATGGCTAAACCAGAAGCGCCTAAAGCATCTTCGAATTTCTAGTGGTGCCTAAACAAATCGAAAACAGATTGTCTAGCACAAGCAAAGAAATCTGCACCAAATCATATGGGCAACAGAAAACTATATTATATATGGAACCTAAAATCCGTTTGAAAATTTAGTATTTCAGATTTCAGATACTTATAGCTGCATAATTAAGCAATACGACATTAAAGATGCTGAATATAATCAAAGATAGGGCCGGGATTGGGAGGGAATGTACCTTGAACAAGGAGAGCAGCAACACCTGTAATTAAGCAACTAAAACAGATACTTGAAGAATGGGTTAGAGAAGGCACCTGGGGCCAGCAAGAAAACACATACCGCACACACGGACCAAACCTAACACATGTTCATCTCCGGAGGGGGAGGTGGGAGCTGCTCCGCTGCCGCTGCGGGCGCCAGGTGCTGCTGCGGCGGATCGAACGTCACGTGGTACTCCCCATACACGCGCATGTAGTAGCGGATGAACACGCACGTGATGAGCGTGCACGTGATGAGCGTCGTGGAGGCGTAGCAGAGGGACTGCACGACGCGGCTGACGAGTGTCCAGAAGCGGGCCTGCTCACCGTCTGTGTAGAAGGAGAGGAGATTGACCATGATAAGCAGATAGTGGATCCCGACGCAAGCGGCGAGGAGGTTCTCCCCGGTGCGGCCCATGCCACCGAACACGCAGTACACGGCGTACGGAAAACGCTTCATCTTAATCGGCGGCCATGGCCGCTCCTCATCCTCCGCCACCGCGGGTGGGGCCGGAGGAGGGCTCGGCATCGCAACGGGATCCGAAGGGGAGACGATTCGAGAGGAGAGGGGATTGGGCGAGGAGGGAGGAGCACCTGCGGACATCAGGCGAGGAGGGAGGAGCACCAGCGGGCGGCCTTGCCGGAATCGACCGAGGGAGCCGCCGGGTCGAGATCGCGAAGCGCGCGCGCGGAGCTGTGGTCGGGAGATCGAGATCGAGATCAGGCTGCGGGAATCGAAAACTCTGGGGATTGCTCTGGGAGGCGATGCCGATGCGCTACAGGGTTTTATTGCCCGAAAGATGAGTTTTGTGGCGTCGCGTATCCTTCACGCGCCAGGCTGGTGGCTGCTGGAAGCGGAGGAGAGCGGGCTTTTTTTCATTACCGTCTTTATCCCTTGAGCTTTTTTTACAAAAATCAATAAATAAAATAGGTGCATGTGTAATAACCCATAAATAAATCTCGTATGCATATTGATGTTGAGAATAGCTGGATACATTGATTCCAAGCTCGTAGGAGTTGTTCTGCCAGCATCATACAATGGTCTAGTATTTTTTTAGGATTTTTTCAACAACGCATATAGAGTAAAATGACCTTTCAGACTTCAAGGGTATGCCAGGTAACTAATTTCGTGCATTGACGCAAAAACTAAAAAAATTGATTTCTCATAGATAAAAGTTGAAATATAGATACAGATCAGCCGTACGGGAGCCTCGCATTGGTGTTGGTGTAGCCATTAGATGGATGCAGTCTGGGCGGGTGAGCTACGAGCGCGTGATGCAGGCAGCCAAGAACCTCGCGCGAGCAGGCAGGTGGGTGACTGAGACCCTCGTGCCGAGCTGATCGTCATGGATCTAGGAACTTGGAACGCACAACGACATGAGATTGCCTCTTGAATTTGTATATATAATATAGTTTTGGGAGAGCTGCAGATCTGCGTGTGGGGGGAGGGCGGTGTTAACAGCAGATTTGAGAAAATGGTGGAGAAATTGGGGACAGAGGAGGATGAACAACACAAGGAAGACGATGCATCGGCGAGGACAGGGTTAACGAGTATTCAGAGTTTGTTTACAAATTTCGTGATATGCCTGTCTCTCCACTCTCCGCAGCTCATCATATACCTAGTTACATGGGCCTTGCCCACCTCGTGCACACAGGCACTAGTCAAACCCACACGGCACACGCTGGATCCACTCCTGCGAGGCCCATGATTCTCCACATCCTGTGGCTGGAAGGAGAAGGGCTAGTAGCAGTTCCCGATGCTTGAAGGCCGGCGTGCTTGTCCCCAGGCAGGAGCTCTAGGAAACGTCTGGCGCGGATGATCCAATGTCTCCCAGGTCGCCATATGAGCTGGCCAATTGGACCACTAAATGAGACCCTATTCGACTGAACCGACCTCCGTGGGATGGAAACGGCGCTGCAACACAGCTATAGGCACCGGAGGCAGATCAATATCTATTGGCAGAGGAGAGGAAACTGGAGTACCTGATGTGACTACCGACTTCAATTGTGAAACGTAATACACCGGGTGAATGGCAGAGGTAACTGGCAGCTCGAGCTTCTAAGCAACAGAACCAATGCGAGTGATCATCGGATAGAGACCATAGAACTTGAATGCAAGCTTCTGGTCCCCTCGGCGCCAAGGTAGACTAAACATAAGGTTGGAGCTTGACAAACACCAGATCACCCCTTGGAATTGGCGCTCGGATCGTTTCTTGTCGGTTTGCTGCTTCATACGCTCCTTAGCACCAGTGCCGGACCTAGGATTTTGAGGGCCCTCTGACGAACTCGTCGCGACGGCCCCTCTCGACAAATGTTTCTTAAGTAACACTCTAAAATTCTAACACTTGACCTAAATTACAAGAAAAACATGACTATATGAGTGCAAAGTACTAGACAAAAATTGAACAAGGAAAAAAACATAGGGCCTAGACAATTTGGACATGAACTTTTTCATAACCAAGATTCACAAATCACAAAAAGGCAGAAGGCAATAACCAAGATCAGATGTCGTCGTCTTCATCGAGCCCTGCCTCAGTTGCTTGGTCGCCGCCGTCGTCTGGATTCTGGAAGACTGGGACTCGGGCGTCGGTGTCTCGGTGATCTGCACTGGTGATCGCGTGGTGAACTGGTGATTGGCGCTGCGTCTCTCGCAGTCTCGCGTCTTGCCGTCTCGCCAGAAGTCCGGAAGTCGCGACTAGCGATCACTATGTGCGCATGTGCGGGTGTTGGCAGCTCGGCTCCTTGCCTATGGAAAGAAAGAGGCCGACGACTCCTTTTGCTGATGGGCCGCTTCATCTTCTCATTAATCCTAATTCCTAATGGACTATAACTAAAGGGTATAGAGTATTATATACTTAGGCTTGGGCCCCCACCCCGCGAGGGCCCTTGGCCGTCGCACCTCCTGCACCCCCCTTATGGCCGACACTGCTTAGCACAACACAAATGCTGGTGGATAAGGTCAGTCATTACTCAGCACATCAACTGAGTCCAAAGCAGAGATGCCAAAATGACACGGAGGGTATCCATACAGAGCTTAAAGGGTGAACGCACGGTTGCTGCGCAAGAGGCAACCAGGCATAGCACTTCGTCAGACAAGCATTGGAGAAACAACGAAGGAAAGTTTCCATTGTTTGATTGAGCCGCTCTGACTGACCATCGGATTGAGGATGGTAGCTAGAACTCATTTGTAACTGGACATCTGCCAACACGAACAATTCCCTCCATAACTGACTCGTGAATATGCGATCATGATCTGAGACAATAGCAGTGGGCAACCCATGTAGGTGATAAACATTGTTGAGGAATACCTTAGCAACGTACGTCGGCCGACGTAAACGGATGAGACAGAGGAAGGAAGTGGTCGTATTTGGTGAAGGAATCGACGACCACCAATATAGAGTTGGCATGATTAGAGCGGGCCAAACCCTCCACGAAATCCATAGACATCACTTGCCACGTTGAGGCGGGCACATGCAAGGGTTGAAGAAGACCCGGAAGACGGGCCCTATCTAAAGATGGCAACGGGGGCCCCGATACCCGATACCCGACGGGTATTTGATCCATTAGGGGACGGGGATAGGATCATATCTTTACCCGCGGGCATCTAAATGGGCAAGAATCCATCCCCGACGGGTATAGCGGGTACGGGAACGTTCCCTGTTTACCCGTCCCCGTTACCCGTTGGGGAACCCGACTATTTGAGCTGCCATGCGAGTATTAGGCCCAAAGAAGCTCAACATAGGTATTTTGGCCAAAATCTAAACAATCATATATATAGTTTGTGTGTTCTAGGAACCCTAGTTCAATTTTTCCTCACCATCTCCGCCAGCAGCACAAGCACGCCTGCCTCACGAGCGCTCGTGCCCCTCGCTTCCTCAGTTCGGTCTCTCTGCCACCTTTGCTCGTCCTCCTCGCAATCTTGCTCCTTCTCCTCGGCATCTCCGAGACTCCGACACTTATACCCGGGTGAAGAAGAAACGTCTCCGATTGCAAAGCTGCGACCCCAAGTGTCCTTGTTTATCGGGTATACAGTACCCGTCGGGTATCTGTTACCCGACCGATGCCCGACGGATATGGGGATGGGCAAGAATCTATACCCGAGACAGTTAACGGGGACGGGGACGGGATGAATTCTCCGTAGCGGGGAAGAGAACGTTCCGGCGATACCGACGGGTACATCCCCGTTGCCATCCTTAGCCCTATCCGGTTTAGTGCACTGGCAAATGAGACACGATTTGACAAAATCGCGAACTGCAGACTTCATCCCTCGCCAGGAAAAGATTTGCTTCAGTTGCATATAGGTGACCAGAAAACCCAAATGGCCACCGAGCATGCTGGAATGGGTGTCTTCGATGATTTTCTTCTAGAGAACAAGATTGGCACCGATCCAAATGCGATGATAATTTGGAATAGATGGAGCAGATAATTTGGAATAAAAAAAACTATGTATCTAAAAAACCCAAACGGCTTATAATTTGGAATAGATGGAGTAGATAATAATGAACATACAAGGAACGGCACTGTAAGGCCCTACTAGTTCATTTCAACAGAAGCATATGTGCGATACAAGAAAAAGCTTTAGCTGACATAGTAATAACATTGCAAATTCAGTAGGAATAGAGTAATGTTCTTAAATGAACTGGCGCCTTAGATACAACTAGAAAAAAGAACATCGACATCGGTAAGTCTAGATTGCATACTGATGGCAAAGACAGCAAACCATGTTTCAGGAATTATTATTTCGAAAACAACATCTGACAAATGATCCAGATTGACAAATGCAGCTATCCCTAATGTCTAACTGCAAACTTGATGGATTTTGGAGTGGACACAGTTGCATCGTGGCACACTTTTACTACTGAAAGAGCAGCCACGTTTGACAAACACAAACAAAGCTTCTGCTGTTAGGCACGTATCTCCAGAACATGCTGTAGATCCTTCTGCATTCCAGCCATGTCCCATTGAGCCTTGAAGTTACTGTGGAGATCCAGCAGCCAGAGCTTTTTCAAGGAGCCCAGGGATTTGATGCCTCGAGGGACTGTCTCCAATTTTGGCAGTGATGTGATATATAGGCATTCTATGACTGGAAGTGCACCATTACTAATTTTCAGAAGGCTGACATCATTCATGTTCTTCAAAACAAGTGTCTTCAGGTGTGGGAAGGATCCTTCCGGAAGGTCCAAAGTAGGTGGACTAGGTATATTGTTAAGTCTCAGATACGTGATGTTCGGTACAGTAGATGCTAGAACCACCAGCGGGTCTCCTACAAAATGGCATCTGCTTAGGGCAAGATACTTGAGATATCTGCCATGGTTCTGAAATATCGGACAATCCGTTAGAGACCAAAATCCTCTTACAATTAGCTTGTGGAGCTTCATGCAAGTTGGATTGAAATGATTCAAGAGAAGTGTCTCATTTTCATCAGCTGCAGATAGAAGCAAACTGGAAAGAAGTAGAATAGTTGACAAGGTAGCAAAAAGCCCTCCACAGTGGGCAGAACCGCAGAAGTGATGTTATCTATCCACAGGCTTCTTAGATGCAAAAGCTTATCAAGTTGCTCCGGCAAGTCCATGCTTGCTTGCACAGTCTCAAGAGTCTGTAAATCTTCAAGGTTCGAAAGCCCTTCCGGAGCTTCCACTCCGATGAAGTACCGAAACTCTGACTGGTTCTTATCAGCAAATTTGTCAGCAAGAAGGTGCCTTAGCTTAGTGAGCTTCACTATACCAGGTGACAGTGCTTTTATGCTAGTTGATTTCACATCAAGAGTTTGAAGATTGCAGAGATTCTTAATGGAGTCTGGCAGCGATGTTATTCTTGTATTTCTTAGGCCAATGTATTTCAGATTAAACAGATTTCCTATAGATGTAGGCAGTTCCTTCCTGGAAATCAGAGTTCTGCAGCTCAAGGACAGTAAGGTACTTTGATTCAGATAGTATTGATGGCACATAGTCCACAATGGTATCACTTGCCATCAGAGTTCGGAGGTGCGGAAATTTCATCTTGGATTTATTCGTTTTCGTCTTCTTCCATCCATATGAAGATATGCGACGAACATCTGTGTCCATCTGCACCATTGCACCAAAATCATTTACTGTACCAAATATTTCTGCTTTAGAGATGCAAAGGGCCAACTCTCTTAAAATGTCATGCATTTTGCATGTATTCACCGTTCCAAGCTCATCATTTTCCACAAGTTGCAGCATATTGCGGTGGATCAGCTCGGTCACTTTACAAGTTGCAGCATATTGCGGTGGATCAGCTCGGTCACTTGGCAAGGCCAACCCTCTGCTACCTCCTCAAGAGTGCTATCCCCTTTCTTTTCAACAAATCCTTCAGCAACCCACAGTCGCACAAGGTCATCCTTTGAGAAGTGGTAATCTTCTGGAAACAGGCTGCAGTATACGAAGCAGTTTCGACGGTCACTTGGCAAGTCATAGTAGCTAAGATTTATAATTCGTTGAACCTGGTCATCTTTTTCCAGCTCACAAGGAAGCTCATTGCACATCTGCCTCCAAACTGGCACTATTTGCTTCCTTGAAGACAACCTACTGCCTACTGATACAATAGCCAGCGGCAAACCCCTACATTTCTTTACAATATCGATAGTAATCTCCTGAAGCTCTGATGGACACTTTACCAGAGGTAAATCCTCAGACTGTTTTACAATAAGAGTAGCTAGATTCTGAAGCTCTGATGGGAATGCTGATAGTGACAAGCCCTTAAATTTGTTTACAGTATAAGTAGCAAGATCCTGAAGCTCAGATGGACACTTTGCCACTGAGGAGTCCTCACATTTCCTAACAATATGATTAGCATGCTCTTGAAGCTCTAGTGGGCACTTTTCCAATGGAAGACCCTCAGAAGTCTTCATCATATCATTAGCACACTCAAGAAGTTCTGATATCCAATCAAAGTGGGTTTTGTTGGGAAAAGCCTTTGTAAAGAAGAGCTGGAGTGCATCCTTGATGTCTAATGGATTCAGGTTGAGCTGGTAACCTGGTGTGGCAAGAGCAGCTACATCCATTTTCCTTGTTGTGATGACAATGCGACTTTCCTTCCCACAATCTTCAAACACATCGCTTATTCCATCATGAACTCGACGCTCCTATATATGCATCATCTAACACAACAATATATTTCTTATGTTTTAGGACTGCCTTTAAATTACTCTTCAAGTCTAAGATGCCCATTTTGTCGAAATCATCTGGGTTCAGCTGTTCTTGTGTCCTATACCAATATCAACTGGTACAGTTGCTTCCTTCTTCTTTTTTCAAAAACGCAGGAGAGCTGCGCATCATTATATTAAGAAGAAAAAAAAGGGGCTAGAGCCCTACAACACACACCACACACAACCCCACACAAATAACATTCGCGCCTAACAAGGACAAAAGGCGACCAAACACTATCACTAAGCTAACTACCAAAGAGAGGGGCTGTCAAGGAGGACAGACCCTTGGCTCCTGCTACTCTCCACAACCGGCGCTCTTCTCCAGCAAGGGAGAGAGCTCGTCCAAGATTGGGGGTAATTCCATCAAAAACGCAACGATTCCGGTGATTCCAAAGAGTCCAAGCACCAAGCACAATAAGAGAGTTGAGACCTTTTTGCATTAATCCACTTGTTGCTCGAATAGCCTTTTCCCACCATATATCAAAGGAAGAATCAGAAGGCTGTGGTGACAAGGAGTGTAGGCCGACCTGTCTCAAAAGGAGATACCAAAATTGTCTAGCAAAGACACGGGAGACTAGGAGGTGGTTGATAGTCTCATCCTCCTGATCACAGAGAGGGCACTGCACAGGATGAGGCAGCCCACGACACGCAAGGCTATCTGCTGTCCAGCACCGATTGTGGGCCACCAACCAAAGAAAAAAACGACATTTGGGTGGTGCCCAGGTTCTCCAAATCCTCTCGTATGGACCAAACTCAGTAGATCCCTAGAAGAAACCCTCATAGGCAGACTTGGCTGAGTATTTCCCACTAGCAGAGAAATGCCATATGTGGACATCTTCAACATCAGGCTCTAACTCAAAATTGTACAGCAATTCCCAGAGATGGAGGAAGTCGACAATAACACCTACAGTGCGGGCTCCCTTAATATCCAAAACCCAGCTGCGACTAGTAAGAGCTTCCTGTACCATACGTTGCTTCACCCTTCTCTTCGGGATGGCTTCGAGTAGTCTCGGTGCAAGGTCAGCGATACACTGTCCATGGATCCAACGATCAGTCCAGAACAAAGTGTGATTCCCATTGCCCACTTCCGATATAACGGCTATCGAGAAGAAGGCATAAACTTGGCCCAGGATCTGAATAGGAAGGGCTGCCCATGGACGATGAGGCTCAGTTTTTTCAACCAAACCCATCTCATCCTTAGTGCCCAACAAAGACGCTTGAGGTCAGAAATGCCAAGCCCACCTAGTTCAAGTGGACGGGTAACCTTTCCCCAAGCCACAAGACAGTGTCCTCCACGAGCATCTTTGCGGACCCTCCCAAGAAAACTTCTCCGCAGTTTGTCCACGGCTTTAATTGCCCATGGTGGGAAATCAACTGCCATTGCCAAATAAATAAGCATGGCTGTGAGGACAAACTGCACCTGAATCCTTCGTCCTACCCATGTCATGAGGTCTGCTTTCCATCCCGGAAGCCGATCAGCTATTCTATCTATAGTAGGTTGGATTTGTTCCTTAGTTAACTTCTTGAGAGAGAGAGGCAACCCCAAATATTTGCAGGGAAAATCCATGAGCGCACAGGGGAGAAGTTCCTGTACCAAGGCCAGTTCTGTATGCCCACACCTGATTGGTAACACATTGCTTTTCTGCAAATTGGTTTTGAGACCTGAAGCATCACCAAAAAGTTGGAGGATGTTCATTATGACAGCAATATCCGTTGCCTCCGGCCAGAGAAAAAGAACCACATCATCGGCATAGAGAGATATACGATGTTGAAGAGCACGAGATGATAGTGGCTGCAACAAAACATCAGCGGCTGCCTTGGCTACCATATGTCCCAACACATCCATAACAAGAATAAAAAGCATGGGTGATAACGGGTCACCTTGCCTTAGTCCTCTCCGGTGAGAAATATGCTCCCCAGGTATCCCATTCAAAATTACTTGAGAAGAAGAGGAGGAGAGTAACCCGCTGATTATGTCCCTCCAGATTTGGCCAAAGCCTAAGTGCTACAGAACCTCAAGCAAAAAGGGCAAAGAAACTGAATCAAATGCCTTTGAGATGTCTAATTTTAGAAGGATTCTAGGCTGCTTTTGTTGATTGAGAAATCTTGCCGTTTGCTGAATTAGCATGAAGTTGTCCTGTATGAAACGCCCTTTCATAAAAGCACTTTGATTGGGAGACACCATCTGCTGCAGCCGACATGCAAGTCGATTCGCCAACATTTTAGTGATCAACTTAGCAAAACTATGTAGCAAGCTGATAGGCCGAAAGTCTTGTGGTTGCTCAGCTTCCTCCTTTTTAGGTAGAAGAGTGATGTAAGCTGCATTAAGCACCTCAAAACCAGCAAATCTCCTACTCCATGCAGCAGAAACTGCAGCCATAATATCTTTCTTTATAACCGGCCAGCAAGCCTTGTAAAATCTGCCAGTAAAACCATCTGGACCGGGCTTTGTCCGGAGGCAGTTGCTTGATTGTTTTCCACACCTCTTCTTCAGTAAAAGGGAGCTCAAGATCAACCAAATCATGGGAGAGGATCCCAAGCGCATCAAGGTTGATAGTACGCGCTCTGTCCAGGCTTGTCCCAAGCAAGCCCTCATAGAATTCAACTAACAATCTTGCTTTGTCTTCATGTTTGGTGTAGATCTGGTCACCTGAAACCAGCTTTCCTATGAAGTTCTTCCTCTTGCGGTGACGGGCATGGAGTTGGAAAAACTTTGTGTTGGCGTCCCCATCACGTACCCAATCAATTCTTGAGCAAAGATGGGCAATTGTCCGCTTGAGGGATGCAAGAGCAAGGCAATGCTTCTTAAGATTGTTTTTCAGCCAGTCTTCTCTTGGTGAGAGGGTGCGACTGTCCTGGGCGATCTCCAGCTGATGGAGGATTTCACGGGCAAGGGCTAGCTGAGAATTAACGTGACCCACTGATTTATCACTCCAACTCTGTAAAGCTTTAGTGGCAGCTTTGAACTTGAGGTTCAAGGTGGAGAAAGGACAAGGACCAGCCGGCACTGAGGCCCAAGCAGCTGCTATAGTTTCCTGAAACCCCTCAAGCTTAGGCCAAAAAGCTTCAAAATGAAAGCGTCTACGACCTGATTTATTATCCTGAAGTCCAAGAAAAAGAGGGCAATGGTCTGAGTCCTCCGAAGCCATGCTTTGCAGCAGACAGTTTGGGAAAAGATCCTCCCAGTCCACTGAACAAAACACCCTGTCCAGCTTTACCAAAGTAGGATTATTTTGCTGATTTGACCTTGTATACTTCCGACCATGAAGAGGAATTTCCTTGATAGCAAGATCATTAATTAAACGTCTGAAACGACCCATCATTGCTCGGTTATAGTTATCATTATTCTTGTCTTCCTGTTTGTAAATCAAGTTGAAATCGCCAACAAGAACCCATGGATCAGGACAGCCCCCTCTGATATCTCTCAGCTCCTATAGAAACTGGATTTTCTCATCCATGCCCTGAGGACCATACACACAGGTTAACCACCAGGAAACACCATTAACCGGGCATAGTTGAACAGTTACGCTGTTGTTATTCACATGGCAGGCCCCTGCAGTACCAAGATGATGACGCCAAGCAACAAGAATACCACCGCTAGCACCTACAGAGGGGAGCTCAGCAAACTCTGAGAAATCAGTCCCCAGAGCAGACAGAATCACTCGCCTGGCTGATGTAGAGATTTTTGTTTCCTGGATGCACACAATATCTGACCGGGAAGCTTCCACAAGAGTGCGGAGAGAATCTTGCCTTGCTGTAGAATTGAGGCCCCTTACATTCCAAATTAAAATTTTAGCTGGATCCATTACAAGATTGTGAAAAAACGACCAAGAGCACAGACCAAAGCAGCTTATGTGGCTACTACATCTTCACCAACTTGATCATCATCCTCACAGAACTCGGGGATGGACCAGTTGAACAGGGCAGCCAAACCAATCAGATGGATGTCAGGAAGTGGGTTTTCAAAAAGCTTACAATACTCCTCTTCAGCCTGCTGACAGACACCATTCTGCTCACTAATGATTTCCAGCGAGCGCATAACCTTCTTTTTCGACCTCCTTTTCCAGTCCACCTGTTGGAACTCAGCCACTGCCCCCACAAGACGTCGACTACGCCGTGGAGTCTCACCAGGTGGCAGAGCTTTTGCGTGACGTTTGCTGATGGTGGGGACTAGCAGCAGGCTTGCTGTCCGACGGGAGAGCTTGCTGATGAAGGTGTCGTGGTTCAAAGGCGTCGCGGCTGGGGACGGAGCCGGAGCTGCCACATCCCCCGCCGGTATACACGGAGATTTGGGGGAGACCTCGGCCTCCAGCTCTATCATCGGCGCCAACGTGGAGCTCTCAGGAAGAGCAGCCCCGCACGGGCGAGAGCGGCGACGCGAGTAGACTTGTAGCGGGTTCGTAGAGTGTTTGCCCAAACCCGGAGGCGAACCCAGAGACCTGAACTCCGGTGGGGGAGAGGTCCATGGGGAGCCAAGAGCAACCGGCGACCTTGGGGGATTTTCTTCAGTGGCCAAGCCTGAGGTGGGGTGCGGCGGTAAGCATGGTGAGGCCGGCAAGATTAGGGGATTCCCCTCCGTTGCCTCACCATGGCCCATGACGAAGTTGTCGGCGATTGGGCCTTGCGCCTCATCAGGTCCAGGACCAGCCCCTTCCATCAGCCCAGGAGGAGCAGCATTTGTCGGGCTAGGCTGGACAAATTCAGTCTTCAAATCAGCCCCCGGGTCCTTCATCGAGGGAGTCAACTCGTCCCCCAATCCCTGCTTGCCGATTGGCCGCGAAACTTCTTCATTAAGGCGTATCCGGTGGGCAGTAGACGTTGCCGCGCCGACCTTGGGCGTCGAGGTCGATTCAAAGGCTTCAATTAATGGCACGTCGCGATTCCCCCGCGAGTTAAGATGCGGCTCCTCTGTTCCAACGGCAGGAGTGGAGGCTCTTGCCGAAGGAGTAGCTTCCACGTAGGAGTTGCAAGAAGCCGTGGGGCCCAACCGCACCCAGACCGGCCGCCGCCCCGATTTTAACTGCGGGGAAAGAGACCGGACACGGCGCGCCACCGCGGCCCCATCAGGGAGGACTAGCAGAAAGCTAGCCGGGGAGGCACGACGGAGGGCCAGCGGGTCATCTTCAGCGCCCAGCCTCAAGGCGATCACCGCAGCCAGCTCCTCAACCGCCGCCGCCTCACCGATGACGGAGATGAACACGGCCCTTGATGCCTCCGGAGGGAGGACCATTTGCTGGGAACCATCAGCTAGCGGGGACACTGGACGAGCCGTAATCGATGGGCGACGGTTACGCGGCCGGCGACGCCGCTGCCGACGCCTAGACCTAGGGTGGTGCCCCGCCTCATGACGCACCAAGTCCTCGGGCGGATGCAAGACGAGGGCGCTAGCTGACTCCGGAGCCGGGGTGATCCGTCGCCAAACCGGGACGCGCGGTGCCGGCCGTCGGCGAGGGGCCGCCCGCCGACGACGCCCAGACCTAGGGTGGTGCCCCGCCCCAAGGCGCACCAAGTCCTTGGGCGGATGCGAGACGAGGGCGCCAGCTGACTCCGGAGCCGGGGTGATCCGCCGCCAAACCGGGACGCGCGGTGCCGGCCGTCGGCGAGGGGCCGCCCCACCGCAGCTAGTGGCGCCGGGGCACACGTAAGATCGGTGTCCCAGGGCCTTGCAAAGGAAGCATCTAGTCCTCTGGCGGCACTGGGCCGCGCTGTGCGCCGGCGAGAAGCAGTTGAAGCACAGACCTCCTAATCTTTTAGAACTTGGGAAAAGTCATCCTATTTCGCGTAAAGTTACGCGCTTCCGAGTAGAAAAGGGTTCCTGATGCAAATGTACATGAGAAAAATAATATATAAAAGTGGTTACTATAATTTAGAAATAGTAGATGATTTCTGATGTAAAATTGTCTTCTATATTTTAGGGGTGGATTATTAGAAACTCCTGGAGATGATCTTCTTTATTCCTTTCAATACTTTTTTTTAGTAGTTGTAAAACTTTATGTTTTTAGAAAGAAACTATTGGGTACTCTTGGAGACGATTCCCCTCTCTCCTACTCTTTCTGGCCTCACCAATAGGTAGTCCCACCATTTCACTAAAAAGTGTCATTCTTATTTCTCGAGAAATCAAATATTTGCAACTTTGACCAAATACATATAAAATGTATTAATATTTATAGTATATAATTAGTATCGTCAAAAAAGATACAAAAATAATAATATTACGATATGTTAGCATAGAAAACCGTATGAACATGGAGACATGAATCAATTAAAAAGCATAAGAGCTAAGCTGGTATGCTTTTTAATTACTCTCTTTTTTTCTTACTAAATAGAATGTGCTATGAGCTAGCTATTTGTATTATTGTTTTTGTAGAGGTATTTGTATTATTGTCGACGACCCTTACTCACATTCTTCACCTTAAAAATTTTTTATAGTAGCTAGCACATCCTTTAGCATTAACTTATTTGGATATACTCTTATTAATTCTGAATTACTAACTACTCCTAAGCTTGTATGCTAGGAGATGTGTACAACTACCAAAGCACTACCGCTAGGTTAAAGTTATCCGATTGCCCTAGTAACATAAATTCTGCCCGCTAGATTTATGGCCTCTCTGGATAAGTTAGGGTTAGTTATTAGTTGAGATTAAAAATACCTTCTTAAGTTAGTTGTTGTTGATTGTTTATTTGGGTAATAACTAGTTAGAGGCTTAGATAAAAGATTAGGTCACTTATTAGCCTCTGTTTGGATAGGCTAGAGCTAAAAACTAGCTAGCTAACAATTAAACCTATATATGTAAATATAATTATAAATCATTTGGTATCTAGAAAAGACAGAATAATTTAGAATGACACAGTACAAGGTATCGACAAACTAATTTCAACTTTTCAACACTTTTTTTCTCGATCACGTAGGAGGGTTGTGTATCATTGTATTAGTAAAAGAAAAAAAGGAGTCATACATAGACCCAACATACTCACACACCCCTCCACACCTTTCCTGTTTTCTAAGGCTTAAGCACCTGTTTCTGAGTATACGACGACTGAGCGGGCTAAAAACTAAAAGCCCCTAGCAGTGAGCAAGGATAGACCCTTTGCTCCCGCCATACACCACCAATGGCCTTCGTCCCTAGCTAGACTCAGGGCAGTGTCAATGCTTGGTGCGGCCCCATTGAAGACACAGTCATTCCGGTGTTTGCTGATGCTCCAGGCGCCAAGGATGATGATAGAGTTTAAGCCTTTTCTTACATCCCCAGTGGTAGCTGCTTCCGCCTTTTCCCACCAGTCCTCCCAAGCTGAATCATTGGGCTGAGGTGTGAGTGAAGAAAGGCTAACGCGTTGCAAGAAAAAAAAAACAGAACTGCCTAGCAAAAACGCACCCAATCTGGAGGTGCTGAATGCTTTTCTGTTACTGGTCACAAAGCAGACATTGCCGGGTGGGGAAGTCCTCGCCGAGCAAGCATGTCAGTTGTCCAACACCGGTTATGAACAATCAGCCACATGAAAAAACGGCATTTGGGAGGAGGAGCCATGACCTCCATATTCTCTGATATGGTCTGAAATAAATGGGGCCCTGAAAGAACGCTTCATATGCAGACTTTGCCGTGTATTCTCCTCAAGCCGAAATTCTCCAATTGTTCTTGTCCTGTATCCCTCCGTGTAGCTCAACATCAGAAATTATGTGCCTGTTTAGTTCCCAAAATTTTGCAAAATTTTTCAAGATTCCCCATCACATCGAATCTTTAGACGCATGCATGAAGCATTAAATATAAATAAAAAATAAAACTAATTACACAGTTTAGACGAAATCCACGAGACGAATTTTTTAAGCCTAATTAGACTATGATTGGACACTAATTGCCAAATAATAACGAAAGTGATACAGTACCATTTCCCAAAAAATTTCGCCAACTAAACAAGGCCTATATCCCATAATTCCAGATATTCCATCAAAGCTTCTACAGATAGTTCACTTTGGATTAGGGATGAAAACGAAAATGATAATTTCTGATTTTCGGAAATCGTTTTTGAGCTTTTTCCGATTTCCAAACCTAAACGAAAACGGTAGCGGTAATCGAAAAAACGAAAATAAAAATAATAAAAATAATCGGAAACGAAAGTGAAAACAATTTTGCCCTCTTCCGACCGTTTTCGAAGATTGCCGTATTTAGCCGGCAATTTGCCGTCGGTAGTTACCGATTCAAAGGTCTTGAATCCTAAGTTATTCATAGACTATATAATGCATATACCTTAGGTCCAGTTGGCCCACACCTAAGCATCTCATCTGCACACACAAGCACATAAAAAGCAAATATGTTTTTTGGAAAGGAACTATACAGAAAATATCTCATCTGTATAGGAACAAGAAGGCAATCAGTGAATCACGTATTGCACCTATAACTCTAGCCAGTCACCACCACGAACACGAACGGACTCTAGGGTTTAGCTTGTTGTGACCTAAGATGGTGCGAATTGTGGTTTTAGCTTGTGGTCTTTGTCAATTATAGCATTATGTATTATTGTCATGTGAGATAGGTAGAGTTATATGGCTTTTCTCATGTTCTCAACGGTTTGGCGTGTTTATTGTTTTTGAGGATATTGCTCACATGGATTCCGATCGTTATCGATGTATTTTCGGATTGACTACTATTATTTTCGAAATTATCGGAATATCGGTGCCGTATTCGTTTTTGACAATATCGTATCGATTTCGTTTTCGAGAAAAAATATGAAAATGAAAGTGATTTAGCCTCCTATCAATCGTTTCCATCGTTTTCATCCCTACCTTGGATATCCTCAATCCGTTTCTCATCACTCAGGGCCTCCGTCACCATACGCATGCCTATTCTTCTTTTGACACGCACAGCGTACGTTGAAGTACAAAAGTGTACGTATAATGTGCTAAAATAGCATGCCATCTAAGACTTCAAGTCACAAGCAGAACTACCGATAATACATCAGGATCCATCCATTTATTATTTATCTTTCTAGCACCTTTTCCGCTTCATCTTTCTTTCCCCAGTGGAGGTTTTTACTTGCTACGTTTGTTTCATTTCTGAGATTTTTGTTCTGAAAAGAATTAAAAAATCGGACTTGCAAACGTTCGTCTGGGGCGCTAGCATCCGATCCTGCCGCACAGAGGGAGCAAACGAGCTTATACCGCGTCGGGCTCATGAGGTAGCGCACCAGCAGTGGGCCCGCGCCGCCCAAATGTTGTCCGCGCCGTCGACCGCTTCCCACGCACATCCCATGTGCAACACCCGATCTATTTTTGAAATATCCAGATGCAACAGTTGCAACATACAAAAGAAGATAAATGAAACACTTGCGAAAAAAGCCTGAAAAAACATTTGAAAATCATTGCAAACATATGCAACATTCAGATGAAACACTCGCTAACATACGTATGAAACACCTGAAAACACTTAAAACATATTCTTGCAACATGCATGTATGTGCAACATCTGGATCTACTTTTGCAACATCCAAATAAAACATTTGCAACATTCGTCTGGAATAGATGAAACATTTGGAACATACACTTGAAACATACGTGTATAGCCATTACAACCTGTGCAACATCTAATATACTTTTGCAACATCGATATACAACACTTGCAATATTTCTCTGAAACACTTGGAACATACTACTGCAACATGCGCTTTCAGCGTAGTATCTACTTGCTACTTGGACAAATAGAGTTTCGCCGACGCGGAGCTCGACACCGGCGTGAAGCTCGATGCTGCGGAATGGTGCGGAGGTCGCCGTTGTGGAGCTCGTCGGCGGCACGAACCACGACAGGGACAGGGGTAGGCGGATGGAGTGTGGCCATGACGAGAGGCGCGAGTCCGAGCGGGGGGCAGCGCGGCCGAGGGCAGGGTCCGTCCTGGAGCAAAGGCGCGTAGCACGCTGAGCAAGCCGGCGACGCTGGCGAGGGCGGTGCTGTCGACTTATACGGGTCCGTCCGTCCGTCCATCCGTCCGACCTATAAGCACCATTACTGTTAAAAAATAGGTAAAGCAATGGATAAGAAATATTTGGTTTGCGCAACAAGCGTTCTCAAAGCTTATTTTAATTGGAATTCAACCAAAAGGGGACATTTTAAATGCAAAATGAAGTTGACTATAGCATGCCGTAATAACCAAAGTGCTCTGAAATTAACTTGGTTTCCATTAAAGTGAAATTAACCACTTAATTCGTAGTTGTAAGCTTTTGCATTTCGGCCTTGTCTAGATTGCAAATTTTTGCAACATGTACATTGTAGCACGTTTTGTTTGTATTTGATAAACTTTGTCCGATCATGAACTAACTAGGCTCAAAAGATCCATCTCGTGATTTACAACCAAACTGTGTAATTAGTTATTTTTTTTACCTACATTTAATGCTCCATACATGCGTCCAAAAATTGATGTGATGGAGAAAGAGTGAAAAAACTTGGAATTTGAAGGTGATCTAAACAAGGCCTTCGTCGGTAGACGCCTTGTTTAGTTCCACCCCAAATTCCAAAAAGTTGCTACAGTACTTGTCACATCGAATGTTTGCGGCCCATGCATGGAGCATTAAATGTAGACGAAAAGAAAAACTAATTGCACAGTTTGGTGGGAAATTGCGAGACGAACGTTTTGAGCCTAATTAGTCCATGTTTGAACACTATTTACCAAATAAAAACGAAAGTGCTACAGTAGCCCCAAAATCCAAATTTCGCGAACTAAACAAGGGCAGAATCCCTTGGCACAACGCCAAGTAAGATGGAAGTTACATGGACATTGGACCCATATATCCCTGCAGTTCCGAAACTGCAAGGCAATTCATTCACCATTTCGCATGCCCACGCAGCAGGCTCATGTACAGAAACGTGCTTCACCATGGATTTTTTTCTCTCATCTCCGTACTCTACATTCCAATGAACAACAATTTTGAACTCTGCAATAAAAAAATTTCCTGACAGAAACGCGTCTAGCCATTGACTTGTCAGATTGACCCGCGTTGTACCTACCTTCACCATGGCCGCGACGCGTCCAAGAAGCGCGTTTCCTCCCCGTCAGTTAGCATGTACTTATCTAAAATGAAATGAGGGTTGGAGACCTGTAGTCAAGTCAATTTCTGCTTCATCCCATCTTCTTTATATATAGACCCACGATTCATCTCTCTCTCCCAGTCGTTCTGCTGCTCGGCATCCTCCGGCTGTTCCAGGTCAGTCTTCTTGTCCTCACTGTTCTTCACATGATTTTTGCAAGGACTTGTGCTTGTTTTCGTGCTTGCCATCGCAGCGCACTGTTATCCTTAATTCATCGCATCTGTAATAGCATTTGTATGCTCCCGCGCATTTGAAAGCGTGTTGCATTAGACCTGCATTCTGATTTGAACAAAACATAGTACTGAATCATTTGTCATATCTAATTCGACGGGGAAAAAAAACAAATCCGAAAGCCCCTACAGCAACTGTGCTGACGCCTGATAGATGCATTACGAACACTGAAATGAAAGTTTCAGCATAACCTGGTTCAGTCTGAATCTTTCAGGGATACAACCATTCCTGGTTGATTTGGACTGCACAAAATGGACGACCAGGTTTAGTTATGAAAACAGATGGATACACATACACCCCAACTTTTAAAACTTTTCAAACTAGCAAAAAAAAAATGCGAGTTTAGATTAGTTCCGGTTGAGGGTATGCCAGTGGAAGCTTAGGATGCAATAGTTCATATCTGAAACAAATACTATATACAACACTGCAACACATCGAAACACCAGGTTATTTTCTAATGTTTTTCTATTTTTTTAGCTTATTCTTTCTTGCATAAGTTGTTTTAGTACTGTGTCATATTTCCATGAATTAGATGTTCTAACCATCCATACCTTGTGCTGTGTCTTCCTGTCGCTCAGACCACAACTTTCTAAATCGTCAGAGATGTCTACAGACACCAGGTGTAGTCTTCTAAGCACATTGCCCAAGGATATACCAGCAAGCTTTCTGAAGCAAATCACAAATGATTTCTCTCCTAAGCTAGAACTTGGTAAAGGTGCATTTGGAACAGTCTACCAGGTATGATCATATATACGCCTGAAATTTGTTCCTGCCTTCTGAAGTTGACTGAACACATGTCAGCATGCCAATATACATAATACATGATATGATACTTGACATAGGGAATTGCGGAGAATGGGGAAATGATTGCTGTGAAGAAACTTGGGGAAAATTGTCCTGTGGCGGACAAAACATTCAGTAATGAGGTCTGTAATCTTATGGCAGCCCAACATGAAAATATTGTGAAGTTGGTGGGCTACTGTCATGAATCACAGAAGAAGGTGGTGCAGCACAATGGAAGATATATCATTGTAGATATAGCTGAAATTTTTCTCTGCTATGAATATCTACCTAAGGGAAGCCTTGACAATTATCTATTTGGTATGTACATGTACTACAATATTCGACAGCATTCGCCACTATTTAATTCCTTTACTGCATCCTATGGAGTTTTCAGTTGCTACTTTGAGATAAATGAGTAATTAAAATTCATATTATAAACCAAAAAATTCAAAAAGAGTTATTAGTACAATAAGATTTTTGTTTCTGGTAAAGATTACTTACATATCTCTGTGTTCTACTTCTTCAGCCGAATCTAATAGAATCGACTGGGACACACGGTTTAGAATAGTTCAAGGAATCTGCAATGGTTTACATTTCCTACATAAGGAAATGGATCAGCCTGTCGTTCACATGGATCTTAAGCCTGAAAATATTTTGTTGGGTGATAATATGGTCCCCAAAATTGCTGATTTTGGACTTTCAAGACTCTTTGGTCAAGAACAAACCCGAACGAACACTCAAAATGTTGTGGGATCATTGTAAGTAAAAAAAATGTGAAATGACTATTTTCCTTTATTACTAGATTCAATTTTAAAAAAAATCACAGTAAATAAGTTTTAATGAACTCTGTTCAGAGGAATATATGGCTCCAGAATATCTATACAGAGGTGAAATCTCTACCCAGTCAGACATATATAGTTTGGGTCTACTAATCATTCAGATAAGCACCGGAGAAAAGAATACTCCTAACGCTGAAGACAAGTGTGGACGAAAATTTATTGAGAAAGTAAGATCATGTTATTTGGTATTTTCATGATTTCAATTTTTTCAAATAGACTAGATTAGATTTAGTTTGCATATATGATATAACAGGAGGAACATCGAAACCTGTAGGTACAAAAAAGTTGGACAGATGGCCACATATCATCCAAGTACACATCATTTGATCCAGATCGCCTCCAGCAAATTAAAATGTGTGTTGAAATTGGGTTACAATGTGTGGAACATGAACGCAAGATGAGACCTTCCATAGCGGATATTGTTGAAAAGCTCAATGCAATGCAGGAATGAGGTATGAACACTGGAACAGTGAATCCCTTTGGTCAGTTTCTTGCACAAATGCTACCCACTTTTGACAAACCTAAGGCCAAAATGGTTTGTAGTTATGCTCAGGCTCTGCTATTCTGAATAGAACTTGCTGATCAGCTTACTTACTTGTAATAAATGGAAACTTATGGGATGCTTTGGCCTAAGGACATTATTGTTGTGAAGTATTAGTGGATTGCCCACCTCTTCCCAATCGCTTAAGCTTAAGCTTTTGGGTTCACTTGGTTGGTGCATTAAACCTAACATGGTATCGAGAGCGGTGTCTAGGTTTACCTCGCTGCAGCAGGTGAGCGTCGCCCGATCATCGTTGCCGCCGGGCGAGTGCCCCCTGCTTTGCTCCTCCTGTGCCGCTTGCGCTCGTTCAGGCCGTCGTCGCAAGACCATCCGCACGCCGTCGCGACCCGTGGCTGCTGCTTCTCTTCCGCGCCGTCGCACCTATCCATCGCGGCCTGCTGGCTGCTCATGCCGCCAAGCAGCTGTTGGTGCTGGCCAGCCACCAAGAGCCGCCGGGCGCGGCCTCCGTGGACGCCAGACTCCCCTGGCTGCGCGCCGCTGTCCCTCCCCACGCCCTCTGGTTGAAGCCGCCCCTGTTCTTGGACATGGCACTCTTTAAGTCCTCTGCTCCCTTCTTTATTTCCACGTTTGCGCCTTGTTCTGGCTGCACGTGAGTGGGAGTGTTGTGAAGTATTAGTGGATTGACCACCTCTTCCCAAACGCTTAAGCTTTTGGGTTCACTTGGTTGGTGCATGAAACATAACATGGTATCAAAGCCAGAGGTCTCGAGTTCGAGTCCTGGTAGAGGCATCTTTTAAGTCCTCCGCTCCCTTCTTTATTTCCACATTTGCACCTTGTTCTGGCTGCACGTGAGTGGGAGTGTTGTGAAGTATTAGTGGATTGCCCACCTCTTCCTAATTGCTTAAGCTTTTGGGTTCACTTGGTTGGTGAATTAAACCTAATAATTATAACTTTCAGGTCCAACTACACATGTTACAAAGAGGCCATAGGTTGCCTTATCAATTGTTTAAGTAATCTAAGTTCCATGTATATGTTTACAAAGGGTTGGGTTTTTCCTTTCATTTGTTTAGTTAAAAAGTTACAATCAACATATGTGCATCAGCTACTCCTATTTTCTTGCCTTCTATTCATAATTTGGACTATGTTTTCTGCTCCAAAAAGCCAGCACATACAACATCATATGGTTCATGCTACATTCTGCCAATGCTAACATATCCTTTGGAATTTTTAGGCCTCTCGGTCCCAACGAGTTTCAAACATATTGGCCTCCAGAGGATGACAGATCGATATCCAAGATGGATAAAGCATGTTTATTATTCGTAGACAGCCCGAAATTCCTTTTGGAATAAAATCCTTTCTTTTATCATCTCAGATATGGAAACTATCACATTATATTCCTTCCATCAACACCAGAACTGCTGCTCCAAATATCTTTTCATTGTAATCATTATGCAAAGAAGTATTTAAATTAAGGGATGGTACCCAACAATTCCTTTAAAATTCCTATTGAATGAGCTACTCCAAATGAATTTTGGAGGAATGTAAACAGACCTAATGGTTTTCTTCATATATGTGTGTGTTATCCATATGTTCAATGTGTTGCCTCGAAACATTACTATTCATACTTAGACGTGATCTATGCCTTATAGAGAACCAAGTGTATCTTGGGTAGTTAGCAGAGTCAATGGTTCATACTTGAGCTTATTCTTCTATAAACAGAAACGGATGCTTCAGACTCCAAATTACTATAGAGTCATACATACTTTCTAGTTCATTTTAGAGAATTAATTATAACTCTCCTTTATCTTTATCCATTACTAGGTTTGAACCCATTACGTTGCACACGTCTGTTTACCTAGATTATAACATGCACATGCTATACCATGGATAAGTATATGGAAAAACTTAAGATTCTTAGTATGATGTCTACCAAGAACCTCTGTGCAATAAAATCGAAACACCCATTGTGATTTTGTGGCATCTCAATTCATCAGGATCAAAATATAAAATGAGTCATGGGACATGGGTAGATGTTGCGGTGTATAACCAAAATAATTTAAATCAGAATTTAGCAAACAAGAGAACAATACACCTTTTTATGCCAAGATTTTTTTTCCCAAATAAACATATCCTACCAATGACTTTCATCTCAAACGAAAGAAAATAAAGGACCGAATATAATAACATTATAACAAGGAGGTAAGAAATGCCCACTATTGAACAGGGCCGTGCCGGCAAAATCTGAGGCCTCGTTCCAAACCCTAAAATAGGCCCTACCTCCCTAGAAAAATAGAACGATAACATGTACATCATTGCGATAAATCAAGAATCATACATATTCAACCCTTGGTTGCATAATCTTTGTTTGAACAGTATCACTGTCTTAGTGTTCTTTGAAATAAAATAATTAATGATATCAACAATTCTAATTCGTTGCGATAAATTATTAAGTCTATCTTATATCATTGGAGAACACTAATACAACCATTCTACTTCATATGAATTATTTAACAAAACCAAAATTAATGAAAAATAAATTACTTTGTTGGCTGGTACAGCAGTCCTAGCTAGGCAGCGCCGAGTACTATGCATTGCTAGCGGTTCTGCACCAACATATAGCAACTACGTAGTAATTGTTAATTAATACAAGAAATATTTCCATCAAATATAAGACAATTAGTCTATTAGACAATTGGCTGGTACAATTAGTAATTTTTGGGGCCCTAAGAATGGAAGGCCCCGTACGATCGCACGGCTTGCACGTGGATGGGGCACGGCCCTGCCATTGAACAATCAGATAACCAAACGATGAAATGAGCTTTGCAAGTTGCATTCCTCGTGGCATGGCTATTGGTGAATCCCAATTCGCAATCAGTCATCAGACCTTGAGCAAGATACATCTGAGGACTACGAGATACGGCAGAAACGAAGGTTAGAGGCTTACAGCCATGTATTTTTGTTCGGCACGGCAGTGCAGCAATTCGTTGAGCAGGTCCTGTGCTCGGAGTCGGAGACCGACCGAGGCCGAAGTTCTTGAGGACCGGAGGAGGCGGATGGAGCGGAGTAGGAGTACATCCAATGCGTAGTACCGTAGAGATGAAAAGAGACCGAGGTAGCCGGCGAGGTCGCCGCGGCCGGTCCCTGCCGGCGTGCTCAGGAATGGGGGACTGTCGAGCTGACGCAGTAGAAAAAAAATCCGTTTCAATAGAAAGATGACTTATCCATCCAATCCCACCAGGAACACAGGATTGTAGAGAAAACCATTAACGAATCACCTACCTGGTGCCCTGGTGGTGGTGCTGCTGCAAAGAGCAGAGAACTCCTGCAATGGCTGCTCCTCCCCCGACCAAACACTCTGACCTGGTGCTGTGAAGCTCTGCACAGCGCTCGCGGTGGCGGTGCAGCGCAGCTTGGAAGAGCAAACCTACTGGAGCCTGACGGAGTGGCGGTAGCCCGGTACTCTAGGCGACTAGGCGTCTACTGCTCGCTAGTCAAACAATTTTAGTTTAATAATTAAATTAATATACAGAAGATATTAACTTTATAAAATCAAATAAATATTATTAGATTAATTGAACAATATTTTTTTATAGTAAATCCATATGAGGAAATAAATATTGATATTATTTTTCTTTAAATATAACTAAATTTAAATTTTTTGTCTTATCCTAATCTAGAATAATCACCGTAGAAAGTTTCTTTAGAGACGGCTAGAATGGTTTTTAAAGATGACGGCTCCGCTCACCTCTATGGCTATATCTGTGTATCTCTGTACATCAATGAATTTCTAAATGTTAGTTGAAACACCGCAAGCTCTATAAATTGATTTTCTATTGGCAGGCTAAAATCTAGCCGACTCTATAAGTCGTTTTACAATTTTATAAATTAGGCTAAAAATAGCAAGAGAAATAACCCTAAGAAGAGATCACTAGGTAACTCCTCTAGTGGTGTCGTTGCATGTCACAGGTCACATGATTTTACATGTAAAATACACACACATTTCTTAGCACTTGAACCCCAAAGTTAATTACTTGTACATGTGCCTAATACAATACTTTTGTATTTAGTTTAACGAGTATTGTAATTAATATTTGAGACCTACATCGACGGCCTGAGGGTATGGTTGTCATTGTTATGGACATTGTTAATGTGGTCGTTGCAGTTGTTGGATGTGGTCTGTTCATATTTTTATGCTCAAATGGATAATTCTGCAAACACATAGAATATCGATGCAGCACTTTACCCGGGAGTATTCCGAGTATCATATTTATATCATCAGAGAAAACATATATATATTGCTAAGATGATTGATCGGTATGATTTCCAATAACTAAGTTACAAACAATCTTTCGACTCTAGATAGGGGTGAGAATAATAAACAAAGGTAGTGTGATACAAGGGACAATAAGAAAGCTATAAGATAAACATCGTAGCTAATGGGAGGACCAGGAGTGTAACACACCACATCCAAAATTTGCTTATATGGCCCAACTCCGCACGTAGAACAAGTTTGAACACCTCTCCTACATTTTTGTAGTTGCTTCATGTAAAAGACGAGTTAACCCAGTGGTGATACATTTGGAATGACAAGTATTATAAGTTGGCCCTCACCCTCGTAAACTTCCAAGTGGTACTAAACCCACCACCACCAACTCCTCATGTGTCACATGGGCCAACATCATAACTGCTACATGCTTCTAACAGGCTAGGGTGTTACATTCACCACCCCCTAAGGGTTGATGCCCTCGGTAGCTCACCACATACACAACAGATGCCTAGAACCACCCCTTGGTACATCCCTCCATGGGCACTACAACAAGGGTGGATGATCTGGTACCATCTGTAACACCCCCATGCAAAAATATGCTTATATGGCCTAGCTTCGCACGTGGAACGGGCTGCATACGTGTAACATCTCTTACACTTTCGTTCTTGCCTTGTGTAAATGGGTTTACCCAGAGGTGATACGTTTAGAACAATAAGAATTATAAGCTGATCCTCATCTTCCTAAACTTCTAAGGTGGTACTATACCCACCACCACCAACTCCTCGTGTGCCACATGGCCAACAACATAACTACTGTAGGCTTCTAACGCGCTGGAGTGTTACAACGAGTGAGTACAAGAACCCTAAGTTACTTCTACTATGAAGCACGTTAAGACTATAGTGATATAACTAAGCCAAGGAATAGCAAGGTAGGAATGGATAGCACTTCGAGGTACGGTCCAAACACCAACAAAAAGGGATGCGAAGGGTTGATAGAGATAAATTGCAATTGAACCCTATGCTTTAAGAACTAGCCCGAACATGTGCAATACAAAGGATGGCTAGTGTTGTCAATACTTGCCAACTACCACAATCTACCCGTGGGGCTAGCCACAAACATAGGTAAGATATAGTCTAAACATCATGTTTACACCAAAGACTTACTACTCTAATCATAGCCATGACGAATTGGTTAGAGCACTCTATAAAGAGTAGTGAACATGTTTTATGAGATAACCAATTATGCTAAACAAGGAAATTAATTAAAACACGATGTTCTAACTAGAGATCAAAACTACTACTATAAGTAAGATTTGAATGAAGTACTTAAGT